TTTCAGGACCCCACCTTGATGTTTCGGGACCCCACTTTGGGTCCCGACCCCAACTTTGGGAAACACTGACCTAATAAATGTCGTTACAGAAAATCTAACTGCTCATTTTAAATCAATACTTTTACTTTTAATACTAAAGTACAAAAATTATCAGATACTTTAAGACTTTTATTCAAGTAATATTCCTAAAGGAGACTTTAACTTTTACCAAAGTATCACTCTGTGGTACTTACAGGCTTTCTGTAGCTTATTTCTTCAAAGTTTATTCATGTTTTGGTTTTTTTAATTATTGCTTTTACATCATACTACCGTAGTCACTTTTCATCAGAAAACAAACTGTGACAACATTGTAATGGTAATTTTGAAGGCAATTGTATTAAAAAAACWAACAAAAAAAAAACTTCAACCTCAGCAAACTCCAACTGTCTACCTGAACACAGGTCAAACACAGACACTTTCACTAACTTGAAGTCAGAGGACAGAGAGAACAAAGTTTTTCGTCCTGCTTTGAGCAACTGATTAGTCACATCACAGAAGCAAACGTCAACAGAACCAATCCGTCACTCAGTGTTTTTGGTTGATAAATCTTCTGCTGCCTCACAGAGGTGAACGCAGCTTTACGACTGCCCGAGAACTCAAAGACGTTTKTCCAACACAGGAAACGTCACAGAGTCAAGATTGTTCACACAAGCCTGAGCACATTTTCAGCTTCTTCTGAGAAGTGTGCTCACTGGCAGGAGAAAGAGAAAAGCACAAGCCTGAACTCACGTCAGAACAAAATTTCTCTTAAGACTCATAAAATCTTGTACACTAGAATTACCAACGTGCCACTGGTAATTGCACCACTGAATCAAGTTGTATTAATCTGTGTAACATTTGTAGCCTAACAGGCAATATTTACTTTAGTTTAGTTTATTCATTCATTTCATTTAAAAACAAAGCAAATTCAATATACAAAAATAAATAAATAAATACAAATGACTAATAAAATAAAATGAAAGGCAGAAGGAAGAAAAAATCTTGTTATATCTGCTAGGGCTGTGTATTGGCAAGAATTTGGCGATACGATACATATCATAACAGAGGGGTCACGATACGATATATCCCGATATATCCCGATATATTTCGATACTGCAAACAAGGCGATATATTGCGATTATTTTGTCCAAAAATTCTATTAAATAAAAACCTCTTACTGAAAAAAAACGAAAAAAGAAAAGCTAATGTTTACTTACAATGCTAATGCTACCCTTACTCTCTGGCGCTCAAGAGGTAGAGGAGCCAAATGGCTGGCTCACTGCTGCAACTAGTGGTCAGAGGCTGAACTACAACATAAAAATGAACGGTTGGCAGGAAGGTTGACATTTTAAACCTTAATTAAAAATCGATACAGGACTTTAGAATATCGATACAGTATCGGGAAATGAAAAATTGCGATATTTCGGTGTATCGATATTTTCTTACACACCTAATATCTGCACCTTTTTCCATCAAAAAATACAGTATATACAGTATATAAAAAAACAGAAAAAAATTAATAAAAAACTAAAATCATTCTCAGACAATTTTTAAGGATACATATTATGTCATTTCATATTTCTTCAACAGACTGGATTTTACCATTCTCCTAAACTTATTTGATCCTGCACTTTTAATATCATTCTCCAGATTATTCCAAAATTTTATTCCTTGCACTGAAGTACATCATTCCTTCAAACTAGTTTGGATTTTACATTTCACAAACACCTCTGTTCCTTTTAAACTGTAGTAACTTTGTCTTTTAACAAAACTCGATTGGATGTTCAAAGGTAATATATTTTTATGAGCCTTTTACATAATCTGCAAAATGTTGTAATAATCCAACTCATAGAATTTCAATAATTTCAACTGACAAAATAATGTATTTGATGGGTAATCATTCCCCCATATTTAACTTACTTAAACCAATCAAAGGGACACAAAAGACAAAAATATGAGCACAGTGTTCAAATACACCACGTCACATTTTAAAGGTTTATATTCAAACAAAAAGTCTCACCTTGTTCTCCCTTATTTAATTTTGTTTTATTTATTAAACTTTATTGAACCAGGCAAATCCCAAATTACGTTGGACTGCCTTTATTTCCATCCAGTGTTGTGTTAATTTCTCACCAAGATCATGCATTGATGGTAGAGTCTGACCTTCTACATACAAACTCCACACAGAAAGGCCTCAGGCATTGCTAACTAGTTAATCTTGCCTGTTGAACAAAGGATAACAAAATGTTTTTAGGTAAATATGTTGCCAGGAAGGTGCGTCAGAAGATACTTTGTGTTTTTTCTATTTAATCCAATGGAAATTTTGTTCTACAGTTAGTATGCTGAGGTAACAACGTCTCTTTGTCTTAAACTGGGAACACAGGACTGTTCTTAGAAGTTTCAGTCTCTTAACCATCACTTGTGTGACAAAACATCAACGTTTCTTAAAATGTAATTTCTCTCTCTCTCTTTTTATTAAACATTTATCCTCAGTGTGTGGTTTTGCCAGCACAAATGACCTCATTAACCTGGCACAGATAAATTTAGGCCTTTTTCTTGTCCAGAATTTATTTATTTATCTTGATTAATTTAAATCTTTGTTGTCATTTGCATAAAACATTTAAAGGATTTCTTTGTCTTTTTTGGTTTCATTTATAGTTGAAGGCATCAAACGCCGGATGGCAATGTGGGTCACGTTCCACAATTCCAGAGAAAACAATGTTAAAAGTGTGTTAAAAAAACAAACTTTATTTCTGTTCATGTTAAAAAAATGTGTTCACCTTGCTGTGGTGACTGGAACAGAATGTTCATTCTGCCCAGATTGTCTTCATGTACACAAAACATAATCAAGTTTACTGTACACGCACCCACGTTTTCTAAAATTACAGGCAACACACTGCAGACAGCCATTTTCCAGAATTACCTTCAGTTTTTAAGCTTCAGAAGAAGAAAACAAACAAACCAGAGGCTCCTACTTTCTTTGTAATATTGTTTAGAGACCATTTTAGGTTTGGCACGGTATCCTGAGGCATCGTCAGCCGAACAAAGGCGTCAGAAAACCAAAGACACTCCTCTAGCTAAATGCCTGTCCATGTGGAACTCATGCTACAGAGGTTAGAGATCACACACCTGACTAATACCTGACACCAGAGTTCACTCCTCAGAAAAAAAGACACAAAGGAAAAAAAAAAAAAAAAAAAAAAAAAAAACGGGAGAATGAAAATGATCACCCTCATTTTAGCTTATCAGTCGATAAATTGATTCATTGCTTTTTGCGACTGGTCTTTTTTTTTTACTTCACCTCAAACTGTCTGAGATTTTAACAAACTTGTCAACACTGTATCTGACAACCAGTGAACACAACATGAATTTGTGCTTGGGTACTCACTGGAATGTAGAATGTGTTCATTTTGGGGTCTTCGTTGGCAGTGAAGAGCATACCTGTTCATACGAAACACAGGCAGAAGCAGCATGAAGACAGACGCAGTACATTCAGAATATATTTAACTTCTGCCCTGATAACACAAGGGAGTCAGAAAGTTTTCTTTATTTAAATAAAGAGACAAATTCTAATTACAATGTATGGAATACAACAAAGGTGCCACCCAGAGGGTGAAAACTGCTAAAACACGGCAAAACAATGAAGCGGCAAATCCATCTACTTTTACATTGGCAAATGTACATTTTAAAAAGTGAAAATGTCTACAGAAAGTATTCTTACCTGAATTAGGATACATGCAAACATCATTGATGTCAGTCTGAGGCTGTATGGAAGAGAACAGCTTCCCCTGCAGTAAAAAAAAATACACAAAAATTATGCTGACTATAAAAAAAGTAGGACAGATCTGAAGTAAACACTTGAGCTGACATTTTCTCTGATCTGTTTCATTTTTTGCATTAAAACAAACAAAAATACTAAACATTTCACACAATTTCTTAAAGCATCATCAATGTCATGTCAAGACGAGCTGTAACTGTCTAAAACATCACTACTTTTCTATATTATATCATCTTTGGTATTAATCTTGTTGTTTGTGTAGATGCAGAATAATATTAGTAGATGTATAAAACAATTTTTTTAAATATATTTTGAGYATAACACTATAAAAGTAGAGAGTCTATGCATAATCTTAAAAATAGCAGTTTATACCGAGACAAATGTAAACTAAAGCAAAGTGAACTTAAAAACAAACACAAATGACCAAAAAGAAAGAAGCCAACTGGAAAAATCCATTTGTTAATGACGTATAAACAGCTGTTCCTTACAGTGTCTTTGTTCCAGAGTTTGATTATCTTAGAGTCAGCAGACATGACGAGGTCCATCTGATGGTGGAAGTTGAGRGATTTGATTGGCAGGTTGTAAAAGTGGTCTTTGACCAGCAGCGGCTGGTTGGAGCGCAGGTCATACAGGAGCACCTGAGACAGAAACAAACGGGCTGAGAGCTGTTTTACACCTTCTGTAACCTGCAGGTTGAACTCAAATACTAAAACAAATTCAAAAACTGAGAAATAAGGATGTGTTAAAAGTTTTTTTATAATCTTTTCAATGCAAAAAAGCAGCCAAAGTATCAGGAAATTTCTCTTTCAAAAGCAAAACCATCTGTGCTCAATCATTTAGAAGACACTGTTAACATATCAGCTGCTTGATTTGTAGTTGAGTTTATCGGTTAAAGAAGAGGTGGAATTTTATGTAATCGTAAAGCAAACACCGTTTTGGTTTGACAGAGTTGAAAACAGAGGCATTAACCTGAATTTTGCAGATTTTTGAACAAAAAAAAAAAGCTACATGTAACTGCAGTTTGGCTCACCTGTCCTGTACTTGTGCCTACTGCCATGGAGAGGGAACTGTCAAACTTCAGCACACTGATGGAAGGCAAACCCTGAACTCTGTCAGCAAACACAGTCAGAAAGTCATTAAATCAATCACTAAAATGTAAAACGAAAAGACAAAACAAAGAAAGAAAGCACAAGTATCAGTAACTGCAGCTCCTTTAAGGATATAATAAAGAACTCTCGACTCGAATAAAAGCTGGAAATTCTTTTTTTGAGTCATACCATCATACAGCCTGCTGCCTGAAAAGTACTACATGACTACAAACGTATCGCCAAGCTGAGATCAGCCAAAATGATGTAAGATCTCAGTGTGACAGCTTGGTTCTTACTCTGTTCCTTCAGTCACGCTGCTCAGGGCACAGTCCAGAATGCCCACTCGGTTCCGGACACGAGGGTCCCAGCATTCCACCCTTCCCTGATGAACAAGAAAGAAATGTTAGATAATCTGAAAATTACAACTTTGAGGTTTTAAAACAAACTGCGACACAGCTAAGATTGTTTCTTCACTCCTCACAGCATGTTTAATGCTAGTACAAAAATAAATAAACAAACAAACAAACAAGACTTTGCTCAAATAAATGCAATATCAGAGAACACAACAGCTGTGGACAGCAGAAAAGCTTTTGGGTTCTTCWCTTATGTCCTCAAAGCTGCTCATTACTCTTTGAACAAAAGATTTAGAGCCGAATCGCGTTGATTTTTGTATTTCAAAAGCAGTGTTTGCATTGATCATAGGACAAGTTGGCATTGCAWAGCGCTCTCTCAATATGGTTTTATATCAAAAAGCATAGTTTGGGTTTCAACATACTGTAACACAAGCACACTAACAACCAGGTGTATTTGTCACAGGGCAAACACAAAGAGTTGCTTGAGACTGCGGCTGTGTCCAAAACGGCAGGACGGGTCCTCCTGAGGACCCAGACTCCCCGGTCTCGGCGGGCCSGGTCCTTGGTAGACCGGGAAGACCGGAAAAAAAGAGGCTGTGAATTTGGACGGTCTAGCCTCCCCTCTTTACCCCGGCGTACGTCTTGTCACCTAGCAACTGTGACGACGCTAAACAAGCAAACTTAAATCAAAACTAGAAAAATATCAATACATTAGCATTATTAATATCACAAAACTATAAAATTAATTTAAAAGTATCATTTGAAGAACTAATTGACCCGCTGTAGGTTCATGTTTATTTCGCGTTTTTTATGACGAAAAAATAATATTTAAAAACATGTCCATACAAATGATAAAAGTATTAGAATTACAACCGCTAATTTTTTTTATTTTTATATCACCATATATTTTTATTTAAAATGTATTCTTTTCTCTCGCTTCGTCCGCCATTACTAGCATAAAAAAATCTCCGGTCGGGCCGCAATGCATTATGGGATATGCTGGGCCGGGAAAGATCCATCAGACCTGTCCTTCGATTCGGGGAAAAAGAAGGACGTATTTGTCGGACGCATCGGAGGAGTCTTCGGTTTTGGACGTCCTTCGTCGCGGCGCTGTGACGTATGCGGCCGACAAATTCGACCTTCGGAGGACCCGTCCTGCCGTTTTGGACACAGCGTGCAYGTTTATTTACAMACAGAGGTGGAAAGTGAGAGGAAAATAGAAGRYTKTACCTTTAGAAAACAGAAAAAAAYGTAGCTTTTTACTTATAACTGAAAACAGAGCAGATCAAACAAAGCTAGAAAAGGCACAGTGAGTGGGGCTCGACTGCACATAGACTGGCTTTTACCTCAGAGGTTCCTGTAGCAAACAAGTGATGGACAGGGTTGATGTCACACGCATTGTTTTCCCTATTTGACAAGCAAAAGGAGCATTGTACACATGAGCTGTCAGCTAAGAATAACACCACACTGTAATAGTCTCAGAAGCTAAAAATACATTTGACTGAACTTACACAGCGTTTGTCTGAAGGGAGTTCATGAAGCGACCCTGTTCCAGGTTCAGTCTGAACACTTCTGAACTGAGAGTGAAAATAAATGTTTATATCTGTCGCTCTAACGGCAAAAATATTTAAGCCCCTCAGAATAACTAACAATCTATTATTTTCTCACCTTGCCCCAACAAAGTACAGGTCACAGGATGGATAGTGATATGAAAAGTCCCGTCCGAACTTTGGAATACGGGTCTTGTAGTAGTGTCCGCCTTGTGAGTGGAACTCCACATAGCGATCGCAGCGCAAAAAGACCAACTGCATGAAAACATAGACGACRATAAAGTCACATCCAAGTGTGCTTGGTAAACCAACATAAAACTGCATTATGAGTCTTAAGAGGTTTGAGCAATTAAAAAAAAGCTTTTCATTCACCTCTCATGAATCAATAGAAGCATGAAATGCCTCACCTTGGAGTAGTCGTCAGACAGGACTTCAAATGTCACAACTTTAGAAGGAAGAAAAAATAATTTAGTCAACAAGAATGCGGCAGAAAATCAACAGCAGCACAAGTTTTACACTCACCTTCTGAATCTAAGCAACGCTCAAATTTCAGGGACAGCTGGTAGGTATCATAACAGCGAACTCTAGGTTTGTAAGTGCCTGAAAAAATAATAATAACAAGTCTCGACTTTTCTAGAGCAACACACACACACAAATGTTTTTTTTTTTTTTCCCCTTGAAACTTAAGCTGGACTTACCTGTTGCCAGGATGAATTGTCCATCCCGAGACACTTTGATGGTCGTACACACTGCGGGCATCTCAAAGTCCTGGATGAGCTCGATTCGACGCTGGATGTCTGGGGAAGACAAAGAAAAGAAAAAGGAAAACAATGGCAAACTTGTTAGAGAAAAATAACTCGTCTACGGAGGTGAAACTGAAGCTGTCGACTCACCGGCATCTTTCTTTTGTAACTGTCTTTTCTTCCGATCAGACAACCACTGTAAAAACGCAGAGGCGATCAAGATGAGTTAGAATTAACTTTAAAAACAACATATCTCCGATTAACTGCCTGAAGCCCAAACAGCTTTGYCTTCTAGAGTTTATGTTGAATAGCTGATTTTTTTTATGATGGTGGCTGCTACACCGTTTCTAAAAAGTTCAACAAAACATTTTTGACAGCTTAACATGTGCTGTTTATTTATGTTTAATATTTAATTAGGCAAACTGCTTACAGGTCTTGAGATACACCTAGTTCTTAGAAAATAGGTTAGGAATAAACTACTCAATGAAATTCGTGTAAATAAAGAAATGCAAGGTTTGTGTTGGTTTCTTTACTTATCAACAAAACATGTTTCTTTGCAATTGTTTACCCTGATAACGTTGTCAAATAAAAAAAACGTTTCAATTAACAGTGTGTTTTTGTGCATGAGTATGCTTTCAGAAAGAGATTTCTCCCAGCTAAGCTAGCTGAGTTGTCAATTAAAGCTAAATCTACGCAACATCCTTAAAACCTAGGGGACACCGAAGCACACTTACCTCCGGAAGAGACTTTCCGTAACTTAAATTGTAAATTTTCACATCGTTGACATTTGATACCTGCATTTTAAACTACGAACAATTAACCGGCACTTCTTCCACGTTGTTGAGCAAAACCAAACACAGGAAACCACGCAGCGTTTGGAGAAAAGAGTCCGGCTACAAACCACATCAACCATCTTCAAAGTTCCGGTGGGTTTTTTTTTTATGTCAGCTAAAAATACAGGACTATTGTTTCTTTGGAAACTCTTTTCATATAAAAAAAACTAATTATTTTTGCTTTAATTTTACGTCCACTGAACACAAACATGCACAGCTGAAAAACTTTCACACAYAGAGGTAAATATCTGCATCATGAGCGCATCCTTTCATGAGCGTCATCTACACTCCCACCCAGTGTTCGAACAGTGTAACTGTATCTCTAATTTCACTAACAACAACACAGCCACCTGAAGGAAAAAAATGCCAGTTTTTTTTTAGTAAATGGTGCAAGCTGTTTTAATTTGTGTTTGTATTTTTTTAAATCAAGTTAAATTTGAGGGTTTTAATTTTTTATGAGAAAGTATTGATTTTGGTTTGTGCAGAAATGAGAAATTATCATCCACACAGTCAATGTGACAAAAACATCATTTGTGTAATTCAGCAAAATTTAACTTATTTGTAACTTTTAGTTAAAAAAATCCTCCTCCAGCAAGATAATAACATAATTTGCAGTTTTGTTACATTAAAAGGGGCTGAAAGAGTAGAAATGTGTAAAAAAGTATTTAACAGGTCRTCCTTTTAGGTGACTGTAAATCTAAACCTTTTCCATTATTTAAAGACAATGTGAATTAAAAAAAGGAAATGCCAAATTCTGTATTTTCTGCACTTACTCAGATCCCCTGAGTGATAAGAGCTTCCTGTGACTGATAGTAAAACAGTGGACTGACGTCCAGACGGTGTAAAGTAGAGCTGTGGTTCAGACATCAGTCCGTCTCAGGTGGAGCTGCTGGTCAGACTTATCCTCTCACTGAGACAATGTCACAGGATGATCAGGAAGATAACCTGAAGGTAAGATCCTACTTTCAGCAACTAATTCTTTCTCATTTTGATGGTTATTTTACTTTATTTCATGCACCATTTTTTTGTGTGAAAAAGTTGAACTAACATGGTTTTTTTCATAAAGTTCAGTGCATGAGAGTTTCCAGTAACAGACCTAATGTTGCTGTGTTTTTGTTGCCTTAAGTAGCAGGTGTTTGGGGGCCAAAGTCTGCTCTTATGAGAAGGATTTATATCTGACGGTCTCTATGTGAAGCTCAAGGAGTCATGACAGATTTTTGGTTGATTTCTGTCCCACTGGACAAGACCAGTCTAACCAGTGTAGAGAAACTCAAACGGACCATCAACAAAACCCAAATGGCCTCATGTTGGAAGTTCTCCATCCCAGATCTCAAGGTGAGGCTGTGCAACGCCGGCAAAGTGCATGAAAGTGTGAAGTGAATTCACTGAATATGAGATAAGGGGATGTTTCTGCTCTTATAGAAGGCAAAAGTACATGTTCTTTGTTTACACTGGTCCAGTGGAGTGTATGTGAGGAGGGTGATGGTGTTTGGTGTCCTTCTCTGGTGAAGGGATCAAGTCTCAGGTTGCTTTCTACAGTTTGAGGCAAAATTTCCATCTGACCCGTTTCACTCAGCATGATCAGTGTCCAGTCTGCCTGCCAGGTGCTGCTTTTTCACCATTGTTCTGTTGTATAAAACAGTTAAAGCTTTAATGATTGGACTGCTCATGTAACTCTTACGTAAATATTAGCAAAACTGTCTATATCCCTCTTAAAGTCTATTACAAGAGATCTAGACCAAACTGTTACAGAAGCAGTGAAAACCAAAAGGCATTACAGTGTAACCACACACACACATACAGGTTTGTTCATATATATATATACACTGACCATTTACCCTGAAATTAACCTCACAGGGAAATCCTAAAACTAACCTAAACTCAATTCATAACTTGTTCCTTAACCTACACACAAAATGACACACAAAAATTAATTAAACGTTTACATTTTTGGGGTAAAAGTCAAATTTCTCGTGTTAGAGTTTTAGAGTTTTTCTCAGACAAATTAAATGTCAATTTATTTAATTACACAAGAGGTAGTTTAGTTGTTCTTTCCGTTCACTGAATACTTTTACTAATTTAAATCAAACATTGTCTCATCTACTAGGACCAGAACCAGATGAAATCATGAACATTATATCAGTTTTCTAAGTCAATGAAAAGTTGTTGCTGACTAATCAAATGTAAAACCTTAGAGTTGAATGTTTTTTTTACTCATTTGTTTCCTTTTATTAGACTATTTTGTCTACACCTTGGGAGTTTCAATTTAGTTTAGTAGTTTCTTTAAAATTTCAGAGTCCACCTGCCAGAAAAAATACTTGTCTAAATATGTGATATTTTACAACTTGAATGATGCTAATTATTAAGCATCAAAATGTTACTAAAGTGCGATGAATGCTGATGAGCACAAAGGTCAAACATGAATATAAATGTAAAAAAAACTTTTGTGTTTCTGCTGAGGCTGCAGGTGGGAATACTGGACAGTCTGCTCAGAGTGTCTGATGATTTATTAAAACTCGACATGCTGACTGAAAGGTAAAAAAAGAGTAATAATCAAAATGTAAAGATCTGGGTTTAATGTTTTCTGTCTTAACTGTTTGTCTCACAGAGAATTCTATGCCTTTAGCTTTAAGTGAAGCTTTATCCTTTGGTCAAACCAACAACTTTGAGCTTGCATGCAGTCTTTTGTCATGATTAATTGATGCTCAGGAGCAGCCGGAGTTTATTTTTCCTTCCTAATTTTAAATTCATCATTGGTCTTTTTGAGCTGAAACAGCATAAGACGTGACAGGCTTCTTTTCACAGTTCCAGGAACAAGATTTGACTTTTTATTGAGATTTCATCTATTGTAAAATTTACTTTTTGGTTTTGAAATCTTAATTTATGGAGATGAATATTCATCTTTGATGACCAACAACAGTGTATGTAAGAATACAAGTAGCCTAAATATGCATAAAAACACAAGTTTATTTTATCATATATCCAATGTATCCATTTCTTAAATTTTAATTTTATGTTATTAATATAATGCCTAAGTTAAATAACATAAACATGAAAATAACATGATTGATAAATAATGTTTTTTTTCCCATGTCCCCTGATCAGTTTGATTAAAAAAACCTGCCAGTGTTTGAAGGAAGTGATGGAGCCGTCCAGTGACAAAGTGCAAGAAAACGTTTTAGCCAATGGAGGTGAGTCACACAAACACACATTAAGCTGAGTTTGTTCATTACAGTATAGAAAAAAACGGATTAGTTCATACATAGAGCCCAAAATGTCATCACTGATGTGTTCATTGTGCCCTGAAGAAGCCTAACCAGACTAACGTGATCAGTCTCCTCTTTCAGACCAAAGGATGAATCAGCGAGCTGCCCTGTCGCCTCTGAAAGCTTACCTCACATCACAGAAGGGTAACCGGAGTGCACCAAAACACGCTTTACATTGTGGATTGTGCAAACTTAAGCTTTTAGTTTTCTTTTCTGTGTATTTTCACCTCAGTAGACCTGATGAAACATATGACCAAGTTTCAATGGGACAAAGCTAAGTATCCCACGGCTCTGCCTCTCTCCAGCCTGACWGACATCATTAACAAGGTAAAAGAGAAATTATTATGTTCCACGTACTGTGAAAAGTTCTGTTAGATTTTCCTGCAAGCAAACAATCTTAGATTTGTCCAACTCAAAAAATTTATGGATAAAATTTGAAATTAAGTTCAAATATTTTCCTGAAATTTAGCACAAAGAGTAAGAACAGCTGTGTTTGGTAGATTATTTCTTTGTTACAACAATGGTTCTTGGCAATAAAATGTATACCGGGTTGATTGGCAGCACCTAGCAGCTCAAAACAAGCAACAATAAAATAAGCTGCTTGCAGAGAAGATTTGGAAATTTTTAATGTGTGCAACCCACATATTCAGCTCTACTGCTTATTCCATAAATGCACGATCCTTACAAATGTGGCACCATTTAAAAGGGAAATTAACATGGTTTTCAACTGTATAATATTTATTGCCAAGAAGCGTTGTTACAATGAAATAATTTACCAAACGCTCATTTTCTTACATTTTGTCCTAAGTTTATATAGCTGTGAACACTCCCAAACAATTGTTAGCATTTTGCCCAAAATCCTGTTTTGGCACGAGATTCCTTCAAATCTTACAGGCTGAAAACAATAGTGGTGTTATATAAAGTACCACAAAGTGATACTTGAGTGAAAGTACAAGTGTCTTACCAAAAAATTACTTTGGTAAAAGTTAAAGTCTCCTTTAAGAATATTACTTGATTAAAAGTCTTAAAGTATCTGATCTTTTTTGTACTTAAGTATTAAAAGTAAAAGTATTGATTTAAAATGAGCAGTTAGATTTTCTGTAATGACATTTATTAGGAGGTGACCTCCACAAAAAATGCAGAAATGACTATATTGTATTAAAATAATTAATTAAAGTAAAATTTAGGATTCACTAGTCTGTTTCAGTTTATATACATATATCAAGGCTGCCCAAAMCTTTTCCCCAAAATGAAAATTTATCCGAGGGCTGCGGCCAAATGCCACAATATAATTCATGAAATATGAATACTTCTTAAGTACAGGCTTTTTATTTTAATGATTATGTCCTGGAGTGTGACATGATTTGTTTGTGTACAAACTAATACAGTATCAGAATTTTATATATTTCTACTTCTCATTCAACCACAATTAAATTCACTCTATCTAGGAGGCACAGTTTATGTGGATAGTATATTTTTTTACAACAAGCTGGAATGAAAACAAGCAAAAATGAAATAAAAGTAACGACTTTCTACCTCTTGACTTTTTTAAAAATATAAGGAGTAGAAAGTACAGATAGTTGTGTGAAAATGTAAGAAGTAGAAGTAAAACGTAGACTGAAAAATAATTACTCAAGTAAAGTACAGATACCCACAAATTCTACTTAAATACAGTAATAAARTATTTGTACTTAGTTACTTTAAAACTCTGAACAATAGCAATAATGCCACTTAAAGTGCTGATTATGTAATAATTTCAAGACGCATGAAAGGGTTGTTTCCATAAAGTTACGCCCTGATGATTCATTTTCTGCAGGARATCTTACAGGTGGAGACAGAATTAAAAACTCGCTCTACAGCATACAACAGTGTAAAAGCCAATTTGGAAAGCCTCGAACACAATCAAAAGTGAGTGATATGRGTTATTTGCTGTTTCATGCCTGACTGCACCTGCAGGAAATGAAGCGAGTTTCTCTGCTTCTAGTGGGAATTTACACACCTGCAGTCTGAATGGTGTTGTGAAGAAAGAAGACCTGGTGGTCTCGGAGTATCTGACAACTCTGATGGTGGTGGTGAGCAGGTCGGTCACATGACACCATTATTTGTCCCTTCTTSTTATATAATACTATTAGAAAAAAATGTTTGCATGTCACTTGATCCAGAGAGAGCTTCCTGCTGTGGGAGAGAAGTTATGAATCCTTTTCAGAGTTTGTAGTTCCACGATCGAGCAGGTGAGTTACTTTATTTTATTTTAATATTTTTTTAATCAAACCCAAAAAGTTGCATTTTTCCTAGCTTTCTTCGGTTGGCACCAACTGTTGCTGCTTTTTGCCTCACTTGGCTCTTCTGTCTTTTTACTGTGTGACTTTCAGGAAGCTGTTTGAGGACAGGGAGGGGGCCATCTTCTCGGTGACACTTTTCAAAAGAGCTGTACGGGATTTCAAAGCCAAAGCTCAGCAGAGCAAGTAAGCAGCAGGGATTGACAGAAAACACCCGGTGGAGTCTAAGCTGTGCTTTCTGTGTCYATTACCATAATGTAGTTTATGATCCCTGCAGGTTTATGGTGCGAGAGCACAGCTTTGACGTGGAGGAGAAGCAGCAGCAGGAGATCACGAAGCTCAGAGTCCAGAAAAAGGAGCAGTATGTGAGTCCCCTTAAAGTTTGACCTCGAGATTTACATCAGAACGTGTTGAAGTGCATTTTTACACCKCATTCCTCCTCTACAGGGAATCTTTGTGCGCTGGCTGAAGGTGAATTTCACTCAGGTGTTCATTGCTTGGCTTCACTTGAAAGCATTAAGGGTGTTTGCAGAATCAGTCCTCAGGTGAGTGAAACATCAGGGGTACTCTTTGATCCCAAATGAAAAGCAGGTTGCTTGATTTTTTTAGGGCTTCTGCAAGGTGAAATCTCGTTGCAGGTACGGATTACCTGTGAACTATCAGGCTTTTCTGCTGGAAACTGAGAGGAAACGCTCCAAAAAGCTGAAGGAGGAACTCAACTCTCTGTTCGTGCATCTGGACCCCACTGCCACCACGACAGATGTAAGAAAAACAGATCAGGGATTTCTTAGTTTTTTTTTTAAATCCAAAACATAAAAAAGTTTCAGGTTAAGAAAACACAGCTTGAAATTAAGATTTACTGTACAACATCACACAGGATATCTAACAATGCAACATAATTAGTGAAAAAGCAGACAGAAGACAGGAGACAAAATGCTTCAGGAAGCTTGAGTGCAGTCACAGTCATGACTTAAGTAGAAAARTGAAAAAGACACCAGAGTGTGGCTTTTACAAAGGTATTTTTTTTGAACCTGTGTAAAATTACAGAGTTACAGCTGAGATAAATGCTCTGAGTGCTAGGAAGGGAGCTTCAAAGCTGCTTTCCTTATAAAAGGAAAAGAAATTACCCTGTTCTGCTACTGTTTTTTGAAGAATAAGCACAGAAGAATGAATTAAAGTAACCACCAACAGTAAAGTGTTTTATTTTCTCCTTTTCTTTTCAAACTATGAACCATGGAAAAATGTTACATCAAATGTAATTTGTATTTTTAAAATTGTACATAATCCTGGATGAGGTTTCTGATGCTTAAATGTGTCTAATTAACATAAAAAAAAGTGTTTAGATGCATACGATTTTGATACTTTTAGTGCAAGAACCTGTTTATGTTGCTGTCTGTCAGCCATTCAGGCACATTTTCTTCATGCTAATTAGAACAGGACTCCCATCCAAGATTTTAATTTGCCTGGTGTACAAATACTCCTGCAGTACGAAGATTAGTTTCCTGCTTGTCACAGTTTTCTGTGTTGTCTGTCAAACAGGTAGGCTGCGACATCCCAGGACTCTGCCAGCAGGATTACTCCTCCTACATCTGCTTCCACATCAGCACCACCGTGCTGGAGATCAGCGAGAAGTCAGAAACGTGACTGACGCTCCGTTCGCCTCAGAACCAGAAATAACTCCACATGCATAAAACAAACAAGTCACGAGCCAGAAAGCGTAAACATATGTAAATATCTRTTCATGAAATAAATGTCTGTCTTCATCACAACAATGCCAGCTGCACAAAACTACACTCTGAACCATAAAACTGTTATCTTTGCTTGTATGATATTTGTTTATTTACTGTATGATGTAAATATATAAAAATAAGTGAGTATATTCTTCCAGAAACTGGAAACTTAAATAATAAAAGGATCAAACAACACAGCTCCTTTCATCGGGACAGACGGTGATCAAATATCACAGCTTTTTTTTTCACATGCAAARATAAGTTTAAACAAAATAAATCAATAATCAAAAAAATACAACCAATTTTTACAATATGCTGTTATGAGATCAAATAAATTGCTCAAGCACAGAAACTACTGAATGAATATGAAATTTTCACTTTTTTGGGGAAAAACAATAAAATGTTCCACACTTTAAACGAATTAAAGCATTTTCTGTGCATCCTATTGAAAAAAAGTGATCATTAAAAACACCATGAAAAGACAACAAAAGACAAATGAAGTTTTTTTTATGTTAGAATGCTCATCATAGAAAAAAAAAAGACCATCAAAATACAGTATTTAACCATGTCTGAACATGATAAACTGTAATTTGTTTTATAAACATCAAAGGGGCCACAAATACTTGAATATTTGTCAAATACAGGATGGTTCGTTTGAAATAAACTGTAATGAGCCCCATTTATTGAAATTTTATATTTTTATAATTGTTATACCATGATCAGTCAGCAGAGAGAGCACTGTCTGCAAATTTTAACAATATTTTATCCATTTGATGGATGCTTAAATTTTCTTTGCAAAGGTAAATTCCAGCAAATAAACTATAAATTATTTATTTGGGTTATAGTCCTATAAAACATGTCTGATTATGATTTAAAATAAACAAGGCTATACACACACACACACACACACACACACACACACACACACACACACACACA